GGTTCCCTGCCCATAGATCCTATCAAGATTTATTCGTATAATATTATGTCTCACCAAATACTCTGTCATACTTCCAATATCCAGATGATATTGATGCAATATGATTTACAGGGTTACAACTCCAGAAACGAACAGAGTTTACTGTAAGTTAGGTATAAAGATCCAGGTAATTATTCAAATTCGTCGACAGTGGGATTTGAACCCCAGACTTCTTGCATAGCGGTCTGGCAACCTATAAAGTTATCTGTTATATATATAGCTAATTATATATTTATTATATAATTACAAATAGTAAGAATCACTTATATTATAATTTCTTAGACCAAACTAATAAAAACTTCTAGCAATATACACTATCTTAATTTCAAAAAAAAAAAAAATCAAATAAAAGTTTTTATTATCTAAATTTGTATATAAATATCTAATATAAGTTTAACTTTAATTCTAATTTCTAAAATTTATTTATATATACAATTCTATAATAATAAAATAAATAATTAATTAATATTAAAATTAATTATTAACTAAATAAATTTTTAAAATAACTAGAAATTAAAAAAAAATATTATAAGATTTTAAAAAAATAAATTACTTAAAAATTAAATTTAAAATAAATAATAATTTAAGCATACTTTATAAAAATAACTTATATAATTCAAAGATCTCTAATATGTTGTGATTGATCAAAATGTTTATCATACTTAAAATAGATAAGGCAAAAAATTATCAATTAAAATATCAATAAATCGATGTTATTTAGTTATTATAATGGTTTTATTTTTTGCGATAAGTTTTAAAGTTTTTGCATATTGTTTAGTTATGGAGTTCAGATAAATCATTGAACGATGCATTCTAAAAGATTAATGCGGTTGATCTAGAAACATTCAGTGTGATCATGGAACATACCAATATCATCGAGAGAAGTTTTATTCCAAATCACCCCGTGTTGTATTTATCATAAAAGAGCTTTTGGGTATCACACATTCGATAACGAACGTTAGCATTGATGGAGATAAAAGTAGAAAGTTATTAATGCCAAGATAAGAAGCCCTCTCAAGTTTATGGTAAAATAATTGATAATCAAAGTGAATAATTAATGAGTAAATTTTTGTTATTTATTTGAAAATTTAGCATATAAGAGAATATTGTATCTCAAATATAAAGTTCATATATCAGATATATTTAAAATTTACATATATATTTGAATACAATAAAATCTTACGTGTAAATTTATAGTATTAATGTTTATAAGTTTAAAAAACTGATGAAAGATACGAATCCAAAGAGAGCTGCAACCTTAGAAAAAACGTAGAACAAATTGGAAATTGGATATAGCTTGAGACTATTCACGTGGTGATCCTGGAGCACTCACTGCAGGAGTGATAGGATAAATTCCAAAAACGAGGGTACGTTTACATTCCATAGTCTTCGGATCCATTAATCTTAAAGTTTCACGAAATCTATTGACCTCGTTCAGATTTTCAGCACTCCTAAATGCCTCCGGATTGGATATATCTGGACCAGAAATAGCTTGGATATGCCTTAACAAAAGAGAACTCCAGCGTTTAAAAATATCCTCAGCTATAAAAAGGTTGTAATCAATAAGCTTGAGAAAGCAAACTTCGTTTGCATTAATCTCCTGGACAGTAAGACCAGATATTTTAGACCAAGCACGATTAGAATAATTGCGATCTTGAAGATATTTTGATGCAACAATTAGAGCAGCTAAAAACATGCGTCGACCACAGGTTGCAGGGTCATTATTTTGACAAGAATTTTGGATCACATCTGGAGGATTTTCGGAGATTGGTGTAAGAGGCAATTCGGTACGTTGAGATAAGAAAGCGATTTTATGTTTGATTCTAAACAAGTAGAATAATGCTGTTTGGAGTGTTGAATAGGAGGTACGAGAACGTCGCAAAGTTTCTTGAAGAAACACATGTAAAGAAATAATTTTGGCATTCGGACTAATGGAGAAATTTGCCCAAATTACCTCCACGATAAGTCCAGCCGTGTCTAGGCGAGAACCAAATAAGAATATTATGAAATTGAAAGGCGGACCAAAAGGTAAGAAGATCTAACACTCACCGACAAGATTTTCAACAAAGGCAGCCTTTTTATGTTTTTCACTTATCAAAGACGGAATTATATTGAGAATAGAAAATTCTTGATTAACATTTTCTGGAGCATCAGGATGATTGGCAACCGTTGAAGGAATATGAACGGTATTTGTGGTATTGGCAGAAGCCAAGTAAGAATTTTTAGGGTCAATGTTCACCATGCACATTTTATCTGATTCGTTTAATTTTCTACGTTTTAGCACAAGTGGTTGAAGTTGTTGGTGCTGTTGTTTTCGTTGTTGAAATTGGTAGCTTTTCTTTAAAGCATTCTCTGTTGTTTGAAGCTTTAAAGAGCCAGCAAAAAGGTTGTACTTCTCGCTTGTAGAGTCTACCACATTTTGAATGCTCATATTTGCAATCACCTTGTCGAAATATCATCAAGAATTATTTATTCAAAGGTTTAATACACCAAAAATAGCATTTCTTTAGGAAAGAGAAATTATTTTATAATAAGAAAAAGTTAAATAGAGGGAAATGAGTTGGAATGCGCAGTACTGGTAATAAAGGTTAAAACTTTGGCGAAAGACGATAATGAACGCCGCAGACAAAACCGCAGTTTATCTTACTATATCTGGTATTGTATTTACTATAACGATAAAACGAAAATTTTGATTGAGTCATTTTAAGTAAGCACTCTTTAGATACTCTTTTGTATTGTACAACCTTAATGATATTTCATTAGATAATAAAGTTGCAGTTGCAGTTTAGAATAAATTACTATTTCTATGCAAGTACGTAAGTGCGTGATATCTCATGACGAAGAAACAAACATTTCTTCAACGATCATATTCAATCTCCGATATGCATTTCTTATAATATATGTGATATCACGTCTCTGACCTACAATTAAGCTTGTTACACCATAAAAATAGGTTTCGTCACTCTTGTTCGCTTTAAAAATTTTAAAAAGATTAAAAGGTTAATTTTTTTTTTCATTTTTTTTTTTTTTTTTTAGAAGTTTTCAGGGTTTTTATTCTCTAAAATATATTTGACGCGTTTATCTTTTTTTTTAGCAACATAAATATGACGACGGTTTTAAAGAAAAAAACCGAACTTCCAAATGTTATTTTTGTTAAGCTTCATAAAGAAGATTTGTGGAAAAAAACAGAGCTTAAAATGGAAGGTTAGTATGTTGTACGATTTCATAAAGTAAACTTAAGTGGCTTTGTTTCTTTTTTTTTCAATATTTACGGACGATTTCAAGTATATCATATCTAGTCAAAGAACCGTCTAAACCACCTGTTTCTCTTGAGACAATAGTCGGCGACGCGTCCACTGTAATTCAAGAAGTTGACTTAATGAATTTCGATGATGAGATCATCAATAATAACAATCTCCCATCAAATATATTAATTGACGCTGAGCCTTCGCCGAATATAATCGATATTCTTCTGTGTGATCCCACTTTTGGTTCTAATAATTCAAAGAATGATTTGACACGAGCCCGAAATGCACATGAACATGGAAAAAAAGCACTTGTGGAAAAACCATCTGAAAAAGAAAAGGTTAAACAATCTACTACGATTGAAATTAAATCTCGTGTGGAACAAAATAATGATAATGGCGTACAAATTAAAACCGATTATCCTCGTGCTACCACCGATACCACTACCATGAAGAAAGATGTTCGGACTGAAGTCTTTCCAATGAAATCTACAAAGATAATTAATTCTACCACGAAAACAAATTCGGATGTCAAGCCGAGAAAGAGAAAAGTTTACACTTTTATGGAATTGATCTTATATAAATATTCCCCACTTACTAAAGAAATCAAATGTGATTTCAGTCTCGAGGCTACGGAATATAATCTGTTGTTAGACAAAAAACATTGCGCGGAAAATGATTCAATTCGTGTACCAGGTCGTCGTCGAAATAGCGACTACAATGGCCGTATCTATGGTGAAAGTAATCTTTATGTTGCACCCGCCATTAGAAAGATTTGCGAGTTTCCCTCTGATTTATCATTTATTAATGAATTATTAGTTGCGCATAATCGATGGATAGCTTTAGTACTTGAGAAGGAACTACGAAAAGCAAAATGTTCCCATATTATGTGTACAAATATAAGGTCTTCTCATACTCAAGCAAAAGATGCAAATGATGAAAATTGCGTGACACCGGATGTCCATTATCACGAGACTACAAGACCACGAAAGGCTGTACGGTTCTTAGAAATCAATGAAGATGATGGATAAAATTATCGTTTTGCGATACTTGACATTGTGATTTTAAAAATTCTTATATGTGGCTTTATTGAATCAAACTTTATACTATGTTTATCTTGCTTTATTTGCTAACTCGTTATCATTTATGTAAAGTTTGTATTATAAAATCTGGAAGTTGGCAAAATAAGATCTTATTTAGCAAGTTACATATTTTCTAAACTTAGTATTGTACACTTTATATGTATACATTGAAATAAACAAATCAATATTTGTAATTATTCATATGATGTTTACAATTCTTGATTTTCAGTCAGTAAGATCGTTTGTAATACCCTCGTGATTTATATTGTAACCATGAGTTTAGAATATGCCAATTTAATTTTATTTATTTATGTGATTGGGTTTTATTAATGTGATATTCTCTAAAGTTCCTTTTTATAAGCCACAACCAAATAACCAATTTTTAGGATCGGCCCACTTTACATATTTTTTGAATTATAGTAATCGCAATAGTATTTCGGACCACATGTAATGCAGATTTGATTTTCTTTGATCAAATTTTTGATATAAATCAAAAAAAGATACTCTTACTTACTCGGGACGGTAAATAGGAGTTTTTTCAGAATTTAGAAGGCAATCTACAAATTTCTGAATCAGAAGACATCGGATCATAGTTAGCTGACCAACATTATTCTATACGATTTAACAATATCTATAGCAAAATTATTAAGCGGGCATTTTTACGTAGAGTATAGGCTATAACTTCATTAGTAAAATTTAGAGTGATTTTAGGCAAAATTAGTTCATTCCGGCCTAATCGACCAGGATACTGATGTCTTCTGATTCGGAAATTTTGGAAACCGAGTTGTTTTTGTAATTAGCTAGAATATTAATATAAAGATTCTTTTAAAATTTAAACTTTAAAGATTTCTTAACATACTATTAATATTCTTTTTTTTTTTGAAATTAAGATAGCTTCTTTGCTAATAGAATTTTATTAATTTGATATACAAGGTTATAATCTTTATTTTAATTAGAGTATATTTTCAATTAGAATATAAATATTTATTATATAATTTTTTAAAAAAGAAGAGAATCAAAAGCAAAATTAGATTTTATAACTTATATATATATATATATAGTTATACTTCTTAAGTATATGTTTTTATAACTGGCTATAAACATATATTTAAAAAAAATATGTATTTAAAAAATTTATAAATTAACTAATTAATTTTTTTTTTTTTTTAATCAGTTTGAGTAGGATAATTATAGTCTAATTAGACTATCTTTTAATCTATAAATTGTAATAAATAAATTTGTCTGTTTAATAATTCAAATATAAATATAAACACAAAGTAGTCTTCTGTAGATTACAGAAGTACAGTTTTGTTTAAGCAAACTATTTTTGGAAAAGGAAAATTACTTTTGTGACAAATCATACTTGGACATCTAAAGTAGCTAAGTGAGTTCAGAATTAGATAAAAAGAGCAGATTTGTAACTAGTTTATTTTAGTTTATTTTTCTGCAATAACAATATATACTTGTTTTCTCTTAATAAATGAAAAACAAGATTATTTAAGTTAAAAAAAAAATAATAATTCAAATATAGTAATAATTTATATTTTTAAGAAGTTAAAATTATTAAATAAAAATGTATATATAAATATTTAAAAATAAGAATTATATTTTATTATTATTTTTAAAATATTTGAAATTTTAAAAAATATTTTTAAAATTTTAAATATTTTTTTTTTTTTTTTTTTTTTTTTTTTTAATTAAGGCAGCTTACTATGCTAAGTGAATTTTTATTAGTTAGATATATAAGATTATCTATTGATAGTTCTCTATAGTTTGTAATTCAGTTGGAAATTTTACTAAATATAAAAATTGAATCTAGAATAATCTATAGGATTTTGATTAGCTATTAATTACAGTAACAGTTTTTTTACTTTTCTAATTTTAAAATAAAAAATTTTTGTAATAACAAATAACTATATGAACTGAAAGTAGAGCCTTTCTAGTTTTATAATCAGTTAACATCTTTTTATAATCAACTCGAATTAAAAAAGTAAATAAAAATTAAAATCTTATGAATTCATATAAAAAATTATAATATTACTGCTGAAATATTACAGTGTTAATATTTTTTATAATATTTTATATTAGAATCTAACAATGTCACAACTCACACAAAGACCAAAAGCTATAGACCTTCTTTGTATATTTAAGAATTTAGCTAATATTTATAATAAAACTCTTAAATTAAAACTTTGTGAAATAAAGAAAAAGCAGATTTAAAGACATGCTAATACTCAAAAAATAGCTAAGTAGCTTCTATTATTTTATATTTTTATATCTAAGCTTGCAAATTATCAATCTTCATTAAGTTCTTATTCAATTTGTGAAAAGTATTATAATAAAGTTATAGGCATTAATTATTTTTATTAGTAGCTTTCAGAAGGTTCTATTTACAAAAATAAGAAATCTCATCTCGATACTAATATTTTAGATAATTCTGTTTCTATTCAAAACTCTAGTAATTCTAGTATTCAAGAAAAGGTTTATGATTCTAGCATTCATGTAGTTTATAAATCTACTATAGTAAAGAAATAGTAATTAGTGATGAGTTGTATCTATTAGAAAAGTTTAAAAAGGTTCAAGAAATAATAGAAACATTAGATTAAAAAAATAGTAAATATATAACAAGCTTTATTAATTTTTTTTTTTTTTTTTTTTTTTTTTTTAAGATAGCTTACATTGCTAGATGATTTTTATTAGTTTGATATATGAGATTACGCATAGATAATTTCTACAGTTTGTAATTACATGAAGAGTATATAACAAGCTATACATACAACTTTAGTTATTATCTAATTTAAGTAGTTCG